AAAAAAAAAAAAAGACAACAGGGCTAGTAGATGCTTAGAAGCCAGATCCGGTGATAGGCAGCTGTTATTACATTCTCAGAAGCCACAGTTTAGAGTGTGGGACTGCACTGGACTTGACTTTCTAATTTTTTGGAAGAAAAAAAATCAATTCTGTACTCGCTCATGCTGGGACCGTGATGAGCGTGTTCACTGGCTCCATCCTTTGTTTCTCACTGGCTCCATTTTCTTGTGGTAGTAGTTCTGTGTAGCTGTTCCTCTATTCACCTTTGCTCGGCAAAGAGACCAAATGTGACACATGCACAAAAGACTCATTAACCAAGCCATTTAACTTTTTATCTATAAAAAGCTTCAGAGCCAGAACAATTAATAATTTTCCTACGAGAAATGAGGAAAATGACAGAAAACATTTCTGCAACCCGCCTCAGCTAACCCTGAGCTATGACTACCTGGTTCAGAAGCTCCTCGCAGGGCAGAGCAGTGTGGGGCCTTCCCCGCCCCGCCCGAGGTCAGGGTGGCACCAGCTGGCCCCGGGGCCAGCAACCCTTCCAGCTGTACAGCTCCTGCCCGCTTTTGTGCAGACAAAAAGGCACACTGATGCAATTTTTTTAATTCAGTGAACCAAAGTAATACTTCATAGGTCAGTGAGAAAACTCAGCTTTCATCCAATCCAATTCTCCCACTAAAAATGTAGCATAGGTGATTTAGAGGCAGGTTCATTAGCATTTCTCTCTAACCCTATGTTATTCCTAAATCCATTTTCTTGATGTAACTTATTTATAATAGTGATATTAAAAATAAATTTTCAAAACTTGCATTTAAAAAAATTGATATCTAATTCAGGTACCATAAAATCCACCCTTTTAAAGTGTACAAGTCATTGATGTCTTATATAGTCTCAGAATTGTGCGGCCATTACCGTTAGTTTTCCTCACCCCAAAAGGCCGGTACCCATTAGTAGGCACGCCCCATTCCTCCTTCCCCCTGACTCTTGCAACCACTTGCTTTCTGTCTCTATGAATTTGCCTATTCTGGATAGTTCATGTGATGGAATCATACTACATGTGGACTTCGTGTCTCGTGCCTCACGTATCAAAATCTTTTCGAGGAGCTGCCCTGTTGTAGCCTGTGTCAGCTCTTCTTTCCTTTTTATGGCTGGACCCTATTCCACTGCATGGATGGACGCATTTTATTTATCCATTCATCAGTTGATGGGCATTCGAGTTGTTTCCCCTTTTTGGCTATTATGAATAATTCTTCTATGAACATGTGTATAAAATGTTACATTTTTAAGCCACAGGAAAAAATCAGAATATTTTAATTCATGTATATAGTTAACTGGATAGTCATATATGTCAGCTAGGAAGACTGAAAGAGATGAATTGGAGAATGAAAATAAAACTGTTTTACACTGAACTGTTTAGACCAAGAACTTGAAGCTAACAAAACAGTTTACATTTATTGTTACAGCTTTAAAATATTTCTAGGAATATATTTGTAATTTAATTTTGCAACATAGTTCTTCTAAATGCTTTTTAAAGTTGTAATATAATTCACTGGTCCCACGTTATTCTTGAGTATAAAAAAAGTCAGAGATATCACAGCATTTGGAATGATTTTATCAGCTGTCTTCAAGCCAAGTGCAACACTCATTGGCATGCATATATCACCTAAAATTTTAAAATACAGCTATTTATCGCAGCTCATTTGCAACATTTGCTGCATTTCTGCTCCAGTGAGTAGATGGTGCAGAGAAAGAATGTTAACAGGATACCCAGATAATCTCTGTAGCGAGCCCGAGAGGAGAAACTCGATGGGCAGGGAGTTGAGCTCTGAAGTGCAGTCTGAAGTGGTGGGTGCAGCTGTGGCATGTTTGGAAACAAAAGTAAATTGGTGTGTGGCAATTAGAGATGAAGTGGCTCTTTATGAGCAAAAGCATCATGGTGCCTGGGAAGCTATTTAGTCAGCAGTTACAACCACAAAGCAAAAAAAAGGTGGACATACAGTAGAAAGCAGTGATTCTCAAACTAGCATGCATCAGGGACACCTGGAGGCTTGTCAAAACTCAGTTTAGGGGGAGCACCTCTTCCAGGTTCTGATTTGAGTTAGAAGGGTGGGGCCCAAGAACTGCATTTCTAACAGGTTCCCAGATGCTGCTGCTGCTAATGCAGGGACCACACTTTGAGAAGCACTAACCTCAAGTTAAATACCAGGTATTTCAGTCATTCTATGCACATGTGACTAACCTAACTGTGTTAGCCTTCTTCAGCAAACTGCTGGAGAATGGACTGCTCCAAAAGGAGAGTAAATTAAGAAAGAGAAAGACATGGCACAGAGAAAACAGGAGAGCCACCCCGGAAGGACAGTGATGGAGCATGTCAGGTGGCAGCTGTGCTCAGAGCGCACCTAGCACAGAGGGCAGTCGCCTGACCCAGGGTGCAGAGAGGCTCCGGCTTTTCCCATCAGCGTGCCCTGCATCACCCTGCCTTCTTTTTAATCCAGCGGTAGGTCGTCTGGTTAAGCCTGACCTAGACTTGTAAGTGTGCTTATCTTGACCTTGTGCTGATGAAGTTCCTACTTTCCTTTTGGTGTCCTGCTGCGGCACCAGCTGAGAGTACTTGTTTCACCCTAAAAAAGCTTTGTGATTGGAATTTTTTTCTCAGAACTGCAGATAGGCCTCCAAGAGCTTTGAAGCAGAAAACAGAAGCCTCCTGCCCTGGCTACATATTTTTTACAGAAGGCACAATTCAGTTTAGAGGGACATAAATATATAAAACAAATAAAATCATATAGAAAGATAAAGCCATGTGTGCTAAGTGGTAAGCATTAATTTCCCTGTTCTATGACTTACAGTGAATAAGGTGCTTTTTTTTTAAGTATGAAGTCCAGACTTTGCCAGTTTCTACCACCTACTACATAAATGAACGTAAAGAGACATTCCAGGGAGACAAGATAAACTTCTACATCCAGGAAAGTTTGGGAGACACTTGAATAAATGTCTTGCCCCGGGCAAGTTCACTATGGATTCAGTGTGACCAAAGAAATGACAGTAGAACGTTCTTGGGGTGAAAGCATTATACCCAACTTCATTCCACGGTGGCAGGTCAGTCACTAAAATCTCGTTCACTGAGGGCGAGTCTGCACACAGCAAGCCAATCTCTGCCTCTGGGCCTCTCTGTCCTCACAGCAGCCGTCCTCTGGGCCTCTGTCCTCGGCACTGCCACCACTCCAGCCTCTGCTCTCCTGCAGCCTTGCAGCCGTGCCACCATGTTGCCCATAGCACCGGGCGGAGCTCTTTATATAGAGTCAACAGCCATGTATTTCCCACACACGTGTAGTAAGCTAGCCAACCAGGGCCAGGTGAGAATCCTGGCCACAGGAACTTTCATTTTATCCACAATAAATTACTGTAGTTTTCCTCAGAACTTTAAGTGTGCTATAGACATGTTTATCTCTTAATGGGAGACAGCATATGCAATTGCCCAGTCTTATTTGGCTTGAAACCCTGTTTTCACAAAACATATTTTTACATCTGAGAAACTGTGTTCCTCAGAACACAGTTTGGGAAATAATGATTTAGAATGAAGTATGAAAGAGGAGATTTAGTATGATTTTGCTTGAAAAGAATTTAAAATGTTACCAAATCTTTGTTGGAAAGTAGGTTTTTAGAATGCTTTTTATTTTACTTATAGTTTCTTGCTGAAAAAAAAAATAATTGTATACATGTGCTAAAAAGTGTTCTGGATCTCAGATAGGCTGGAGACCATTGAGAGAAAAAGATAAGTTTCACAACTTTTTGTTATTTGTGGTGGGTTGTTCATTTTGCCATAATGCTCTCTGTAGAGAAATAAAAAGAGATGAATGAAGTTACAGGTTTCTTAGACTTTCTACTTTAAACACTAACTTAAGATGCTGGCAGTCAGTAGAACAGTGCAGTACTTTACTTTTCTGCTCATACTAGTGATGTGTAGTGTAAAATGTTTTGGGCAAGGTTTGAAAGTCAAGGTGAATATTAATAATCCTATTCTAGCTTCACTGATAGTTAATACATCTTTAGGTTTTCTCTATTCCCTGCTTTGGGTTTATTTAGGCTTACTGTGAATATTTAACATACAAAATTCTAGGTAGTATATTGCTACCTTCTGAATAGGATTTTACATTATAAAATTATTTTAACTGTTACTGTCATTTATATGTTTATATGCATAATCTTTTTTTCTCATTTATACATTTTAGTTTCAAATGCCTCTGGGGGAACATCCTCCTTTTCTACTTTATCCGTGTCATCTTCTGATTCGGCGTCTCCAGAGAAGTCTGTTCCTCTCTTATCTCCGGTTTTGGCTGGACCTTCCTTCCGGACTTTGTCCCATCAGCAGTCTTTCTCTACCTCCTTTAAAGAGAAAGATAAGACAGCCAGGGTTCCTCACCCCTTCATTCCTGAGGGCCCAATGTCCTCTGATGAAGAGAAAAATGACAACCTTAACCTACTGGAAATTCTTCCAGATAACTCTGACTCTGCTAAGAAAAAGATAAGTGATGTTTTGAGAAGTAATTGGATCACATATTGCACCCAAAATATAAACCACTTCACCTCTGTGTCCTGTCCTAGTTTTCAGACAACCAGAGGCCCGCCTAGGGAGCCTGAAGCACACAATTCCATTGAAATCCTTCTAGGGGAGGTAAAAAATGCGATAGTCAAATTACATGAAGACCTGAGCGTGGTAATACAAGAACTTAATGTCATCAGTGGCCATCTGGTAAGCATGAGTGGGAAGAGTCCACAAAGCAGCACCTCTGTGCAGTTTCCCCAGGCTTCTGAGGAGAGCTCAGAGCACATCTAATGATCTTGGTAGCCATTTTTGGTAGAACTCATGTGGTTCTACTTTCTAAAGACAGAGAAGTTAACCTTTTATAAACTTGCATTACAATGGCAAAAATAGGGTGATGGTTTGATTTTTTCCTCATCAGGTTTATTAACAAGTATCTTTCAAACTAATAACTTCATTTGGGTGATTTATTTTTTAAAGAGAAAAGGTATCACCTTTGACAATATTTTCAGGTTTGGATATTAGCTCATTTGAAACTGAAGAGAGTTTCATTCTTCCATGCTCTGTACTTTACCTCAAAATAGAGCATTAGTGAAAGTCGTAGTGAGACTTCAAACAGCAGACGACTATTCTAGAACATTAAGTGGGCAATAGGAAGCCCTTAAATTTCCATCTGTATGGAGCTTCATTGTTAACAAACCTTTGCCTTGACCAAGGGGATTGAGTCTGGGGTATACATTTCACATGTTCTCATGCCAGGTTTCAGGTTCTGCAAACCGAGGGCCAGAAATCTTTCCCTTCTCATGAATGTCACAGTTGGTTGGGAGTTACGCTGAGACAGGTAGGACATGGAACAGGTGTTTTTATTGTTAATGTATACTGCAAAGTGACATCAAATGTGTACTTTTTCTTGTACTTTCTAAAATAAATTTGATATTTTTCATCTTATATGTATGTTTCTGATTCATTGAGACAGATTTTCATATAGAAATGTCTCAGTTTTTATACTTATGGGCTAAATAACTTAGTTCAGGCAATATAGACCAGTGATTCTCAACCCCACTGCACATTAGAATCACCAGAGAAGCTTTTATTTTGTTTTATATTTATTTAAGAGAACAGTGTAAGGAGCTCCATGTAACCATCACTCAGCTTCAATTATTAATTAAAGGCTAATATAATCCCTGATTCCTTTGAAGAAATGTAGGACATTTAAAAAAATACTCTAATGCATATGTGCATTCCCAAACCAAAACCAGTTTTCATCGTGCAAACTGGGTTAAGAACTAGAAGGAACTGTTAGTACAAAGACTAACACAGGAGGATATTTGACATGTTTGAGGCCAGTGTGAAGTGAGGAAAGGGAAGAATAGTAGCTTTGCAGCAATGGAGGAAAGAACAGGAAGTTTTGACAGATGATACAGGTTCTTGAAGACAATTGTTAGAGATTTTGGCTTTTACTCTATGAAGTAAAAGTTATGGCAGGGGTTTAGGGTGAAAGGTGACATGATGTGACTTATGTTCTAAATGGTCACTTTGGCTTTGAGGGAGAGAGGGCTTTGGGGACATGGGGTGAGGCAGGTAAGCCAAGTAGAAGGCTGTGGCAGTTATCCAGGTAAGAGCTGATGGTAGCTCAAATCAGGTGGCATCATGAAGATAAATGAGACCTGATTAGTAGGGATTTGCTGATGGGTTGGATAACATATATGAGAGAAGGAGAGGAGTCAAAAGATGTATCCAAGTTATTGGACTGAGCAACTGAAATGCAAGATGAAGTTGCCACTGACTGAGATGAGGAGGGTTGCACATAAAGAAAATTTTAAGGCATTCATTTTTGGATAGGTTAAATTTCAGATATCTGTTGGATAACCAAGTAGAGATATCAAATAAGCAGTATGATATGAGAGTTAAGTCTGAGAGAGGTCTAGATTGGAATGGAGGCTGGGAGTTAGTAACTGGTGGTTATTTAAAGCTATGAGACTGGGTGAAATCACCAAAAGAATTAGTGTAATAGTGGAGATAAGCCGAAGGCCTGAGCCCTGAGGCATTCTAACAGAAGACCAGGAAGACGTGGAGGAACCAATGAAGGACTCTGAGAAGGAACTACCGCTGAGGTAAGAACAAAGCAATGTAGTGTATAGTGTTTGGATGCCAAGAGTGTTTTTTGTTCTTTTCTTTTCCATGTGCATTTCAGAAGCACTTTGTCAAGTTCTTTTCAAAGCCCTATTAGATTTTGATTAGAATTTCATTAACTCTATTTGGGGAAATTTTTACAAATTTAATCTTCTAATCCATGAGCATAGTACATCTTTATCTATGTTCATATGTCTTTTCGTAATGTTTTTCAATAAGCTCATAATTTCCGCAAAGAAGGCTTCTATTTCTTTTTGAAAGACTTAGTACTTTATTCTTGATATTTTTATACTATTATAAATGCCACCTTTATTGCCAGTTTTAAAATTTTAGAACCAAACAGTCAATAGAAATGTTCAAATGAACATTGAACATGCATCTGCCCTTCATCTGGATTCACCAGTTGTTAACATGTTGCTGTGTTTGTTTTATCTCCCTCTCTGGCTACACATGTTTATGTCTGTGTTCACTTTTTATAGCTCGATAAACACATACATACAACATTTTGCTGAAACATTTAAAAATAAGTTTAGATATCATTACACTTTGCTGCAGAATATTTCACCATACTTATTACAAGAATCAGGGTAATTCTTTTCCAACGTGCTTTCCAGGTAACCAATTCTCTCTTTAGCTGTGTCCTATCTTCCCATCAAGTTTTAATTCCGTTATTGTATTTTTCATTTCTAGAATTCTACTTAGTTCTTTTAAAATCTATATTTTCTTCAGTTCATGTTTCTTGCAGATATTTCAAGTGTATCTTTGCTAGTAAGAATAGTAAGCAAACTAATATAGAATTCTTACTAGTATGAATAATAAGTAAACTATAGAGTATTCTTACTAGCAAACTATTAATGTTTAACATGTGCATTTAAGATTATAAATTTTCCTTTAATAGCAACAACCAACAATTTTTTAAAAATTGAGATATTCACAAACCATAAAATGTATTCCTTTAAAGGTATATAATTCGGTGATTTTCATATATTTGCAAGATTATACAGCCATCACTACTATCTAGTAATTCTAGAACATTTTTATCACTACAAAAAGACATCCCATGCCTGTTAGCATCCCTTCCCCCCTCTTCCAAGCCCCTGGCAACCAGTAATCTATTTTCTGACTCCATTAATTTGCCTATTCTGGATGGAATAATATAATATGTGGCTTTTTGTGTCTGGCTTTTTTCATTTAGCATAACGCTTTTGAGGTTTATCTATGTTGTAGCATGTACTGGTATTTCATTCGTTTTTATGGCTGAATAATGCTTTGTGTGGAGATAACACATTTTATTTATCCATTCATCAGTTGATGGACATTTGGGTTGTTTGTACTTTTTAGCTACTATAAATAATCCTGCTATAAATATTTGTGTGAGCATGTTTTTAAGGATATGTATCTAGGAGTGGGATTTTTTAGTCATATTTAATTTTGGGGGGAGTTGCAAAACTCTTTTCTGAAGTGGCTGCACCATTTTACCGCAAGTTTTAGTATGTGACGTTTTTACTGTCCTTTGGCTTAAAATATGTTCTAATTCCTGTCATGAAGAAGCATGGAGGTTATTTCTTAATTTGCTAGCATATTGTACTCCCTGATAACTCTAACATTTAAATTTTTCATGAGTCTATTTTTGTTGTCTGTTGTCTTGCTGATTTGTGTTCTCAATTTTATGTTTCCTGGTACCTGATTTTCTTTGACTATATATGGACATGACCCTTGAAGATTTATTTATATGAATAACACAAGAATTTATTTTTTGCTTTTGCCAAGTGCCTGGTGCTATTACACCATTATACTGGTTAAGTGAATCAAGGTCATAGCTTGAAGTTTTCTAGAATACCCAGGTTAATCCCACACAAAAATTCCTCATAAAGAATGATTCATTTCCAATTCATTCTCACTGCATAATCATTGGGTTCCACTTTGTTAGTTAAGGAGTATTTCTTAGCCTTCCCACCCTGTGTGGGGTGATTTCTAGCCCTATCATCTTTCAAAGCCATCAAAATGAAAGTTGGAATTTGTAGAACTCCGTAAATGCCCTAAGGGAAGAGTGGCTTCTGTGATCATTTCCATATCCGGTCTCTGTCTCTCTGAGTACCTATTATTCACGAGACTCTGTGCCAGGACCTGGGGATACAGTGGTGAGCAAAGCCAGATATGGCCCCTGTCCTTACAGAGCTCGGTTTCTAGACTTCTGGAGAAATTTGATAGATTAATCAAATATATTTTTAAAAAATATAAAAGTCTAATGGTTCTGGGAAACGAAATGTAGGATTTGACCTGGCAAAGGAGTTCAGGGGAGGTTCATTTAAGGAAGTACCTTGAACTGAAATAAAAATTCCAGGATTATTAATGTCAACGCCCCTGCGCCATGTTGGGCAAATAAACTGCGTTATGAAGTAGAGCATAAAGTCAGGATGAAGTTAAGACATCTTCTGTTAGCTTTGCTCATGCCTCTGGGAAACCCCCACCCCTCCACCCCAGTGGATTCTTAAGGGATAGTAGGATACAGTATCTCCTTTTTGTGCTATACATGGCTTGGCTAAGAGGAGAAAAAACCTCCAGAGACATAGCACCCCTCGCTTCCCACCCCCATCACCAAAAGGTGCTGCATCAAGTATCCTGAAATTTACTCAGAGAAACCCCACAAATGACTGAGGCAACAAAAACTATCCCTTTGAGGAACCCCCTTACATGCTCACAGTAACTTCAGATTTTAAGTAGATTTTACATAGCTCATGTATTTTAATTCAACCACTTGTTAATTAGTATAATTAACAAGCACTTACTTGAGTTTCTATTTAGCCAACTCCATTAAATGAATAGAATAAACTTAGCTTAAATTAAGAGTATATTCTGATTGACTTTGTAATTATCTCAGATTAAGAATACTTCATTAAATGCTATTCTCTTAAGTATTTTACTTGGAACCTGAGGATCTTATTCTAAGGCAGTCACAACAATATTTTACAGTTTACTGACTGTCAAATTACTCATGTGTTCTTTCTTTAAATATTTATGAAGCACCCATTATGCATAGGCAATTTGCTAGACATTGAGGACACGATGGTGTACAAGATGGGTTCAGTCCTGTCTTCCAAGTTACAGTTCAGTGGAGACACAGATCAAGAAATGGGTGATTAAAGCATAATCTTTAAGCCTGGTGCATGTGGGAAGCACAGGATGGTTTGGGAAGGCCTGGTAAAGAATGACAACCAGCTCTGATTTGGGGGTCAGATGCATCCCAGAGGAAATGAAGTTCAAACTGGATCCTGCTTAAGCAAGGGAGTTGGGAGAGAGAGAATTTTCTAGGCACAGAGAACAGCACATATAAGAGCTGGGAGCAAGAGGGAAGGAGGTGAGTTTGAGGACAGGATGTAGAAAATGGGTGGGTCAGAAATCTGAGCACTGTCTTTCCCTTTATGCAGTGACACAGCAGGTG